AGAATCTTCTCCCATCCAGCTTGATTTACAGCATTCTAGGGCTTCTCTAGCCCACATTTCCAAACTCCTCTCACAAACCAATGCCAAAGCCTTTTGAACTACATGATTGGATAGTCATAGCAACAATACTACTTTTCTGGTACCAAAGTCTGTCTTAGTTACTTTTTTATCACTGGACAAAATACCTCACACTCAAAACTTCAAGGAGAAGATTTGTATTTTGACTCACATTTCAGAAGCCTCAGTTTATGGTGGGTAGGATCAAACGCAGAAGCAGCATGGTAGAAGGAGCTGCCTGTGAGCTCAGCTGCTCACTTCCTGTTGGCCAGGAAGAAGAGAGAGAAGGGAAGAGTCACATTCCCAGGGCCACAGCTCTTCCTACCAGGCCCCACCTCCCAACAGTACATCCAGCACTGAAATCATCTGTGATTAATCTATCTACTGATGAGTTCAGTGCCTCCATGATCCAATCACATTCCAAACCTCCAGGCACATGAGGCTTTGGACAGACATTCCAGATCCAAACCACACAGCGATCCTGAATAGCAATAGCATATTTTCATAAACTCCTCATAAGATTTGAGATGGGATGGTACCCAGCACATATGTAACATTCACTGGTGCTGGCAGTGTTTTTATACTGCTGTGTCTAATACTACTGCTACCATATTTTCTACAGGTACCACTACTACTACAAGTACGCTTATTATCAGTGTCCCTTCTGCAGGCATCTCTGATTTATGATCAGGAGAAATAAACACCTACAATATATGATTGCAGTGCCTGTAAGGGAGATATGTGCAGAGGAGGAGGCACCCAAATCTGCTGGAAGAATGAGACAGGCTACCCAAACCAGGTGCCCCCAGCCCTCTGTCAGTCCTGTAAGATATGCACAGGGGCTGACATTTTCCTCCCACACCTCATTGCTCCATCCAGATCGCTCCCCTTTTATCCTGGGGTAAAGGAGTAAGATGTTTCTTAGTTTGAGATTCATAGTACCACCACCCCTTTTCATTCGCCCCATTCACAGAGGCTTACGACACCTGAATTAGTCCTCCTGTCCTATTTAGTAACAACACATTGGGCCTGGGATTTAGCTCAGCGGTTCCGCCTCGCAAGCGCAAGGTCCCAAGTTCGATCCCTGGTACAAACACACACACACACACAAACACACACACATTTAGTGATTGGAATGCACGTAGACTTTCAAACCTGCATACTTAAGTTTGAATTCCAGGTCTACTTGGTTATGAAATCTTTGACAAGTCATTTAATCTGTCAGAGCCTGTTTCTCTGTTTGCAAAATGGGGTTGTTATCTACCTCTGGGGTGGTTTACAGATTAATGAGCACTGTCTGGCCTCCAGTTAGGGCTCGGGAAGTGTTAGGTGGTGTCCCATAGTCAGCAGCACAGGGGAGGCTTGGAAGGAGCCATATGTGCTCACACTCACCACAATTATTTTCCTCCTTGACTCCAACATTCTCGCCTCCATGCCACCTGAGGGACGCTCATCCTACTGACTGCCCTGGAGTAACCATTGTGCAGGACGACTGCGGTAGCTCTGAAATTCTTAGCTCTGCAGTATCACTTTCTTACCATCACCTAATGTGCTTCCACCTTTTTTCTTCCCTGCCATTCACTAGCCTTGTTCCTTAGATGCATTAGGACTGCTGTTAGCCAGATACGCCTTTCTTCACACCCCTTTTTCTGAGACTTAGGAGAAATGCTTTCTCTTTTGTCCAAAGCCAACTCTGACACCTATCTTTCTACTTGAAAAGCTTGGTTTCTTTCTAAGATCTTCTGTCGCTATCTACTATTTTTCAGTCTCTTCTTTTAATTTCCTACAACCCTACTATAGTCCCACTCCTGTCCCTCCCTGTCCCTCCACCTCACCCTCTCCCTCTCCGTGAAAGCCTAACTTCTAGAAAGGGTAGAGTATAGTGTACTCAGTCTGCTTTCTCACATCTCCCTCTTCCATACCTCACTCTGGCACTGTGATTCCTATTTCTTCCCACTCCTCTTCCTGGAACTTCCCATGGAAGTTCACCAGTGACCCCTTCACAAACACAGTGACAAATAAGGATAGGATAATCCAGCAGATTAGAGATTTCAACCAATTTCTAGAGGACGAAAGTGCTTGCAGTGTTGTAGCCACTGCAGCAGATAGAGTGTCAGTTTCCATGTCTTCTTGCCTAGGGGATGCCAGTTTACCCCTCCCTCCCTTGTAAAAGCTGAAGTTGTAAAAGCAGAGTGGGACATCGAGCAGAAATGGTAGTTCTCGCTTATCAAGTACACCAATCTGGGGAAAAAAAAACAAAGAAGACCACAGATGATAACCATTGGAGGTTCTCTTGTGAAGGGAAAATTGTGTAATCATCCTGTGCATAAACCTGTCCGTTACTCTTCTGATCCGATTTATATACCTTTGAGAATTGAATGGATAACTAAAGATCACCAGATACTTGAGAAAAGCCTCCAGTTAGAGACCAAAACAATCATCCACAAAGAGAGGTACCTGTTCCTCAAAAGATATCATTAAAAGAGATTGATACATATCTTAAAACTAAGTGTAGTAAAATGGTAATGATAGAACCTAGCTAGTGGATATATCATTCTAACATTCCTTCAACTTTACTGAGTATTTAAATTTTCTCTTCATAAATTTTGGGAAAAATTAGTAGAAGGGATGAAAGATAAAATAGGAGATAAAAAGGATGAAAAAATCAAAGATTTTAAAAATGTGAAGAGACATTCTATGTTCATGGGTTTGGAAAATTCAACACAGTAAAGATGTCACTTCTTCCCAAATTGATATTCTGGCTTTAAAGCAAGCAATTCCTATCAAAATCCTAGCAAGTTTTTTAAATAGATGTAGGCAAGATTATTTTAAAGACTATATGAAAAAGCAAAGGAAGTAGAATAACTAGAACCATTTTTAAAAGAGAATAACGTGGTAGGAGTCATGCTGCTAGATTACAAGACTGTGTACACACATAAACACACACACACAATATACATATATATATATTCTCCCATACCATGTGGTAATTGGCAGTGTTAGCCACACAAATCAATGGAAAAGAATAGTGAACCCACACAAGTATGGCCACACAAACAGACCCACACAAGCATGGCCAGTGGATTTCTTACAAAGGTGCAAAAACAAGTCAATGGAAGAAAGGTGGTCTTTTCTACAAAATCAAACCAGTTCTTCTGCAAAGAACCCTTATAAGAGGAAGAAAAGAAGCCACAGGCTAGGGGGAAATATTTGTAAGCCACATACCTCACAAAGGATTTGTATCCAGAATCTGAGAGCTGCTATAAACAGAGGACTGAGAATCTGCAGTTACAGGAAATGAGGTCCAGCAAAAGATAGAAAGGACACGTGTATGCCGTGAGGACAAAGAAAGTTCCAGGACAGGTCTGGACAGGGCATGTTGGGCGAGAGATTCCTGGGGACCAAAGAGAGGATGGCATGGGGGACAGATAACATTTCAGAAGGTTTTCTTTTAATATTTGAAAACAGTGTTAAGGATGTGACACCTCTCATAAAATAAGCTGGTGGGTACTTAAGAAAGCCAAAAAAGAAAGCAAAACAAATGTCAGCTTTCAGAGAAACAAAAGAAAAATGCAGCAGCAAAAAGTATCGACATAGTTATAATAATAATATTTTATTCATAACTGGTTTATCAAAGTGGTATTATATTTTGAAGTAAAGGGTTGGGAGCTATAAAAGAGCTAAACTTATCACACAAAAAATCAATCCTTAATATCTAAAAATCAATTAATTACAAAATAACAGAATTTTTTGAAAATACAGCATTATATTTTGGACCAGGAAAAGACTATGAGTGAACAGTGTTTTTTCTGGACAGAGTTTTGGAGTCAGGATAGAGGAACAAGTGACTGTTGTTTCTAGCCCTTTTCATTTTTGTGGGTTTTTTTAAACTGAGATACGCATTTGATATTTTTAAATGTTTAAAGCCCAAGGCATAATCCATCACAGAAAGGAAATATCTTGGTCAAGCTGTCAGTGGAACTAAGGGAATAATTTGTTTCCAGGTGGTAATGAATCCAGATGTCATTCACTAATACCAGTGAGTGTCCGCTCCCACATCAGTGGTGGAATCTGGCCTGCCAGGTCCTTTAACATAGACACTGTTCCCAGCCTTAGTGCCACCAAGGCTAGGGAACAGATGGAAGTCTCGGAGAGGACCTTGCCCTGTGAGCTTCCTGCCTGCTATAGCAGAGCACCAGGAACCACATGTGGGTGAGTCACCTACCCTTCAGACCCTCATTTCTGCCACTGGACATGAGAATAACCTTCCAGGGTTTGATGAGGAAGGGAAGTAGTGCATGTCATGTGCCTAAAAAGTATACAGATACTCAAAATTATGGCTCTTGAAATAGTAAATGACATTAGTGAAGTAGTAAAAGATCTCTGCATTTTCAATGTTGTTGAGTTGTTTTCAGCCAGAATTGTGATTGTTATAACTGAAAGAAATAGGTGGGGAGTATTTTCAGCTCATGGTCCAAATTGATCACCAAGGGCTTTTTCTGTTTCCTTGGAGCCCTGCTACAGAACAGAATAATCCTGTATTTTTAACTTTTTTATAGAACTCCAACAATCAAAAGGTCATAATTTGTTATAATGATGCTATAATTAAGTTGCAGTAAATGATAGCATTTGTAGATTTTATAACCAGGATTGATTCATAAAATGAATGCAGTCCCAGCAGTTTATGTTAACATAATTAAATGGAAATGTAATTCTAACTCAGTTTGCTTATTAAATTGAAAATTACTAGGTTATGAGCACTCTTAAATTTCTGTCAAAATTGGTGTAAGTCTAAAATTACATGAAATATCCATTAAAATAAAGCATATTTAAGGCTCTGTTGCTGGTGGCGAATACATTTGTTGAAGCTCGCGCAGGTTGAGCAAGCGAGGCAGGTGCTTTCTCAGAAGTTGTGGCTAACACTTTTTTTCTTTCCTCTGCAGCCACTGGCTTAGCACTGGGGCTAGGACAGAGCATGGCCAGGTAAGGACCAGTCCCTTCCAAGGGAAGTTATTCTCTCAGATATTTATCTGTCTCCCTTAAAGATTAAGATCCCTGGCATATTTTACAGGGAACTCATTGCACCGGGGCTTAATTCACAGACCAAAGCATGATCCTCAATAAACCACAGCTTCCTTCACAGCCACATTCCGGAGTCACACCCATGAGCTCCACAGAAAGGCCTTGCAAGGCACTGGACTGTGGGGCTTCACTACTTATAAATCGTTTTCACAAAATTAAGGTAGTAAGGCAGTATATATGCTTTAAATTTAATTTGTATTTAAACATAAGATCAGCCAGCATGAGAATATTTTTATTGGCATTTAGAAAGTGGCAGTTGTTTCTTACAAGTTTACATTATGTCTCTAAATGAAGTCTTTGAAATCTCTCACTGGTATTCATGACAGCACAGCGATTAGTTGACTGCACAAGAACTTGATGTTCATTTCACGTGTCTTCACGTATTAAACAAGTAGTGTTCCTTCTTTGTACCTTAGCAAGCTAAGGTAATTTAGGGCTGAAATCTGTGGTAAGTTTTAAAATATAAACATTTAAGGGTTTGAATCCTTACAAGATTTTTTTCCTATTAGAATTATAAAAGTTGTTTTTTAATGAGGTGATCTATAAGAAAGCATACTTTTAAAATGCATGAGAGGCTGGGAATTTAGCTCAGTGGTTCCACCACCTGCCTCACAAGTGCAAGGACCCTAGTTCAATACCTGGTACCAAAAAAAAAAAAAAAAGAAAAAGAAAACAACTAAAATGCATGAGAATGATAAACCGCAAATTCCTAGAGATCATTTCTTTGTGGGAGTCAGACTTGGTAATGGTGATTGATAACATTACTCTATTGGAGATGTTTGATGTCTGAAACGGGGTATCAGTTTCAAAACTGGGTGCAAATGCCCTAGTCCCCTTGACTTATAAAGTGCCACAGTCTTCATTATAAACCTATACCAGTGATGGCGAACCTTTTAGAGACAAGTGCCCAGACTGCCATCCAAAGTCCACTTATTTATCACAAAGAGCCAGCAATGCAATTAAGAATACTGAGGTTTTAGTTTTGAAAAAACAACTCATACATCAACATCTTTTGTCTTAAAAGAAAAACAAATAACATCCGTGCCATAGGTTCACCACCACTGACCTATACTTTTTGCTTGCAAATTCAAATTCAGTTGTATTGTTTTTGTTATCGTGCCTTTTCCCATGAGAGTAATTTGCCCCTGAGACTTCTCACATTAATATAGAATGTTTACTCCTCTTCTTATGAATTTGGAACCTAAGCCATCACATTCATAAGGTGTTTATCTTATTGTTCAGAGTGCAAAACTTAGACATTCTGCTTTCCCCAGGGTTCATTACAGTGTTTACAGTTAGACTCTGCTTATAATGCCTGTACAGAGTTGCATCTGGATATAGTGTGTCACCAAAAATGATTTTTAAAGCTCATTCACTACCCTTCAGATTGTGAGAAATATTAATATGATGTTATAAATTCATGCTTTTGATTACTGTGTATAATTTAAGCTTTGGCTTCCAGCCAAGCTTTATTGCACGGTTAAAAATTAACTCATGGCTTGGGCTGTGGATGTAGCTCAGTGGGAGAGCTCTTGGTGAGCATGTGTAATGCCTTCCTTTCAATCTCCAGCACCTTCTAAAGAAAAAAAAAACAAGTATAGTAGCTAATAACTGTTATTGTAGAGAAGGAATCCAGGGCCTCACACATGCTGAGCAAGCCTTCTACTACTGAGCTACACCCCAGCTCCTTTGTAATCTTTTTAAATTTTATAATCTTTTTTAACCAGTGTTTAAATCAGCCTTTTGCTTAAACTTTGGGTGTACCGTTTCAGATTTTTATCTTGAAGTGACAAGTTATTCAGCAGTAAATACAGATAACTTCTTTACTTGGAGTAGTTACGTCCCATAAAGTAGAAGCAAAACTAAAGTACTGCACATTGGACCAGTGTTCTTAGGGGAAACACAGGGTTAGGTTCCTTCCAGTCTCCTCCTAAGATCTTCACCAAGGAATCGATGTATGGCCTTGTTTTATGGGCATTTGGTTTCAGGATGCCTTATTTAGTTTACAAGTCTTTGGTTCGCTAATACTGAGCTAAGGGTACACAGCACCATAATTCATATGTGAACAAGGCTTACCTAATGTGCAGGATTTCTCTGCATGGCCCATCAGCCTCTGGGCTGGAATCACTAGGCAACACTTCAACACTGTGCTTGAGGGCCACTGTAGATAGTGAGGTCACCCACAAAAGCACAGCAATGCAAGAAGCACAGTGCTGGGGCCCCACCAAAACCCCCACTTGTTTACAGCCTGAGAACTGAAACAGGACAGAGTGTCCCCAGGGACCTCAGCCAGGAACACGCTTTGGGGGTGTCTCAGATGCAGGCACATGCCTGCAAACAGCTTCAAAGACACCTGAAGCATTGATTTTTGTGTTACAAATACATTTTAGCAAGTAGAGGAATGCACAAGTATGGACTCTGTGAGTAGCGAAGACCAGCTGTGCATAAGTATATAAATAAATACACACTACCTACATTTTGAGAGATCATTGTTTCTTAGTTCAACTTAGACCTAACTATAGCACAGCACACTGTTGGCTAAACCTGAATCCCAGGAATGAAACAAAACCATAAAGAATTATGAAAACCCTCAATGTATTGTTGAATGAATTAGTCTTATCATGCATGATCACCTTTTATTTTTCTTACAGCAACTTACCAACTTAAGGTCATGATTTTTAACCCCACTTTTTAAAAAACTACTCTTCACTACTTCTCCCCATTTTATGACTTCTTTCTTGCTGTTTTTTAGTGCTGAACCCCATTTCCATTTATGTCCTGCGTGGAGATCATGCCTTCATTACACATTTATTAAAAGCTTATCACCATTACATACTCTCTGTATTCACGAGATGTATTTGTGAAAAACCAGATGGCTTTCCCCCTAAGATAGTTGTAGTCTGGGCAGGAAAACAGAAATTAGTGTATGTTGATAAATATTTGAGAAAACCAGAGACAGAGTTATGAAGGCCACGAAAGAGAAATCCCAAAGTCAGTTCAGAAGTGGAAGGAAGTGGGGAGATGTGTATGACACATTTGTGGAGAGTGTGTGTGTGTGTGTGTGTGTGTGTGTGTTGTTAAATCCTGACACTGTGCCTTCTGGAGCGTCTATGGTTTGACATACTGACTGAGTTTACACTTGTCTTAGTGAGTCATCATTCATAGTTTAGCTGTAACTCTCCTTTTTATGCTGAGGACGCTGAAAGGCGAACTGTGAAGTGTGTGCACATTGTCTTACAGATGTTTGAGGAATCAGCTGAGAAGGAGCTGCCAGTTGAGATGCTCCTGAGCCTGAATGCCTTGTCCAGATGGGGTCAATGCTAGGGCCTAAGAATTCTGCTCTTTGCTTCCCCCTCTTGTGGCAGGGACTTGAGACTTTTAATAATCTTGAAAACCATCACAAGTAGCAACAGGATTCTTAGTTCCCTTTCTGTAGCAATAACAACTATTATCCACGAGGAACCCTTCTGCCTGGTTTAATTCAGCAGATTTTAAATTGTGTGGCTAGATTTTACATTTATGGATTTTAATGTAATTCTTATATGAGTCATTTTTTAATATACATCTGCAGGTCACTAATAAGGGAATTGTATCTCCGTTTGGCCTAAGTCCAGCAATCTGAAAGATGGAAGGTAAGAAGCACTTCGAACCATATTCAGAAATTCTAGTTTTTAATCAGAGATGACATTAATTGAGTCAGAACCCTAAAAGTGACCTCACTTGTGACACTGATAGAGTCCCAGAAACAGAACAGTTACCAGTAAGAATTTCTCAGAATCTGATGGGCTGCTTTTGCTCAGATGAACAAAGAGCAAGAATTTCTATTTCTTTTATTGTGAATCCATAATCAGATTTCATCTTTTTTAGAAATGTGTTGGGAGTCTTCCAAATACAAATATATTTTCAGTTCTAGTAACATCCTGATTTTTGTCATGGCTGCCCTTTATAAGAGCCAGTTCATGTATTAACTTGTTAGATTCATGTCCCAGACATCTGAGTCTGTGTCTTTTCTCTGAACTTCATGTTCAAGTTGCAGAGACACTGTCAGATTTATAATTTCGTTGACAAGCTGAGGTAGTTTTGTCAATAGCTTTTTCATGTAGATGCACTGCATTAAATAATTCCCATGTCTGTCTCTTCTTTTATACAAAGTCCATCAAAACCATTGATTTGAAGAAGTAAACACGTTTTCATGGGAGTCTAACAGTGGAGCTGGAACACACAGTTCGGAGGAGATGCCCTCTCATGTATGTTCCTCTAGGTCAGTGGTGGCAAATCCACGGCACTCACTGTGCCACAGCCCGCTGTTTCTTATCATTGAGAGCTCTGAAAGGTTCACCATCACTGGTCTGGGTGGCAGCTTCTCTGAGAACCATCTAGACCAACAGATTTCACTCACTACAGTTGCATTTTGCAAAACTAAACTACTACGGAGTCATTTCTTATTTCAGGACACTGTATTTGAGATTTTGAACTGTTTAAACTGTTTTAACCCAAACTTAGGAAAAATGTGCAAATATCTGTGATTTATCTTAGAATTTGAAAAGTTAATTAACTACCATTAATTTAAGACAGAGGTAGAGATTTTATCATCTTTCCTCTAGCTATCTGTGTCACAAATGTTGGTTTGTATATATGTTCTTAAAGGCACTAGACTTAGAAATGCCAAAGTAATTATATTTTTTTTATTTTCAGAAGCAATTTATGTTCATGGTACGAAGTGTTTCTAAATTGAAACACTTTCAGATTAATGGACTTAAGATAAATGCTTGCTATTTTCTATTAGTAGTAATAATGAGATATGGCTTCAGCTACTTATCAGATACCAGGTCTCACTTCCTATTTCATTACCTCATTCATTCATTCATTCCACAAATATTTATTGAGCACTGAAAATATTGTAGATGCAGTGGGGAACCCTGGTGATGCAGGAGAATTGAGTATGTGAAGCAGCGGGCCAGAGATGAGGGAGAGCAGGCTATATACCTGAACTAGAAGGTCCTTAGGGCTGGGACCTATCACTCAGAAGTAAGGAGGTCAGGAGACAGGGTGGGGGAAGCATGGTAAATTCACACTTAAGAGATACAATCAGATTATAAAGGTCCATGAAAGCCTTTACATTGTGGGTTTTATCTCAAGAGATAAAATTCGTTTTAGAAAGCTTATTTTGGCTGCAAGTAAAGAGGGAAGTAAGGGAGTGTGGTTGGAGAAGGCCACTTGAGAGGTCCATTCAGGTCAGGAGGAGAGCAGCAGCAATGGGGATGGATGGGAGGAAGTGGGTGTTTAGGAGAAGTTTGAGATACGTTCATAGTTAAGACCTTCTTGAAAGAATAATCTAGCTATATTCTTGGTGATCAAAGATGTTTTACTTCTCAATAAGGATGAAATAAATGAGTAATAGATTCTAAATGGTGCCAGTAAACAGTTCCAATCAATTCTCCTTCATTAAAAGTTGTTGCTGTTGGTCAGACAATACCCCCGGACAACCAGGCTCATTCGTCATAACCAAAGTTGTAATCTTAGCCACAGTTGTAGCATTTGAGCTCTATTCTCAGCATCCCCTATGTTCCCGTGTCATAGTGCTAAGTGTTTTACACAGTTTATCTTATTTAATACTCTCAGCAGCCTTCTGGGTAGATAGTATTGTTATCCTTGTCTTACAGGTGGGACAGGATTTAGAAAGGTTAAGTACTTTGGCCTAAGGTTACACAGCTTGTACCTGGTAAAGCTCTCATGGAAACCTAGTGATTCCTGCGTTACTGGCACAGCTGGGATTGGAACCTGGGTCTGTCTTGCATTATTACTTTAAGAATTCCATTTTGGTTAAGGTTAATTTCTAATGGACTGCAGAACTTTTTTTTTTAGCCTAGTCTTGCATATAGTCACACACCTGCATAAATAAGGTAAACTACAGTTTCACTGAACACATAGAGAAGAGTATTGACTCCCTGTTTTTTTCTTTGCAGTTAGGGTAAAACAAGAGTAAAAGGAAGTCCACAGGAGAGCATTTTGGGGAGCAATCTAATACATATTTTTTAATTATATATTTCGAAGCCAATAATTTATTTGACAGATATTTTAAGCTTGTCTCCTTACACAGGTAAGCCAGTAGGCACAAGAAAGTACTATTAGCTCTTTCACATCTGCACAGGTGCCCTACCTCGAAAACGTCACAGCTGGAAGCCACAGGCAAAACCACAGACGAGAGGTGACATTACCCCAGCCTGGGTGACCAGAGGACCAGGGACACAACTGAGTTCTGGACAGCCAGCCCTGGGCTCATGTCACCTGACTGGGACACACTGGACAGCCAACTTTCACTGACATTTTTGTGACAGTGACAATGGCATCTCTAGCAAAGGCAGTAGTCTTTGCTTTAAGAGAAATCAATAAGGGAAAAAAAGGAATGCAAAGTGAACAAATTAGTGTCCCTTTAAATACTTTTCTCCTTGCAAAATAATATAATGAAAATATTTTTATTTCTACAACTTTGTCTTAACATTTTATATAGCATCAGCTTCTGAGAGATAACCGAGCTGAACGAGGACACAGGAAAAGCTGTTCAGGGAAAACAGCCAGCAGGTAAGCCCTTCAGAATCATTATAAATTCTCCTCATCCATCCTGGGCCATGTGTACCTGTACTGCTGTGAAGGTGGGGTGGTGTGTTTTGTGCTGCCTTTTGGTTCTAAAACCCTGCCTTCAAATATTTTAGTTATTGTTTGCCAGAATCTATTTCAGGATTGCTATTAATACCATTTTCTGTGTATTGTTTAAACCCTCTGAAAAACAAAGAATGAATTTTTTTAAAGATAATTCCTATCTCTTAAAACTAACGCATTTGACAGGGCCAGGAATTTAACTCAGTGGCACCGTGCCTGCCTCAGAAGCACAAGGTCCTGGGTTCAATCCCAGGTACAAAAAAACCAAACAAACAAACAAAAATGCTAATGTATTTGAGATCTGCCTTACAGCAATTATTTTTTTTAACTTTTAAAAAGGTGAAATTAGTCATTTCTGCTACACTTAAATGGTACTTAGAACTTACAGCAATATATATACTCATTCTAGTAATACTCAAATGGGTAAAGACTAAAGAGGTAGTTAGTCTTTTTTAAAAGTGCATTTAAGGGGCCAGGGATTTAGCTCAGTGGTTTCACCATCTGCTGTGCAAGTGCAAGGACCTGAGTTCGATCCCCAGTACCAAAAACCAAAACAAAACAAAAAACGAAAAGTACATTTAAGGTCTTTTTCATCTTATGTTGCTAAGTCCATGTTATTTTTCCTCAGTACAAAGGATTTTCTTCAGTTTGCTGTTTTAGACAATATATTTCCAAATTTTGTATGTGATGTTTCTGGAGATTTGATTTTTATTTGGATGAAAGTGGCTGCACATTTTCTATGGCTGTGTCCAGCTGTCCCCTCAAAGCCCCATGTGGTCATAGGTGGGGCTTCTCAGAGGTGACTGGGTCTAGGGTGTGTGTTGCTGGGATTAAGGGTCCCCCCCCGCCCCGTGAGTGCTGCCTACCCTGAGGGCATGTACCCCAGAGGTAACGTAAGGGACAGAAAGAGGGCTGTTGCCCTCCTTGCTGCTTGGTGCCTTCTGCCTGCTCTGCCATCTCTGCAATGCCTCTCTCCCAGGCCATTGTGCTTTGGAGTCAGCCAGCTATGGATTGAAACACCTACAAACTGTGAGCTAAATAAACCTTTCCTCCTTTAACTTCAGGTGTCGTGTACTTTGTCTCAGCAATGAGAAAACTAAGACAACATTCATGCCTGAATATTGATCAGAACTATTGCCTCAGAGTTCTACTTAATTTTTTTAATAAGATAAGATACTAAGATACTCAGCAGCCACCCTGGCATCCAAGAGTCTCTCAAGGCTACGGTGCCAGCCACAGAGTTTAGCACTGCCCAGCAAGCAGGATGGGTTTACGGTAGCCGGCTGCCTGTCCAACCCAGCTGAGATCCCCTAGGTACCCGCTGAAGCAAATACAAAGCCCACATACCTAATTTAGAAAATCAAGCTTACTAAACGTAAAATGAGGTAATTCACCATCCATGAAAGTCAACATAAACAACTAATAGATCTGCCTCTAAGAATGTCAGTACCTAAAATTATTATTAGATATAGATTCTGAAATCCCTGTAGATGAAATGTACATAGAAACAAATTGCTCCAAGCAGTTTTAACGAACTGCTGTTAAAATTTATCAATCAGAAGTGAAACACATATATATATAGTGAAATATATAGTGAAATATATATACTATATATAGTATATATATAGCAAAATATATGTATAGTGAAATATATATGTACTATATATATATTTCTTAGGAATGAGAAGTATGATTGTTGAAGAGGTAATTAGTGAACTGGAGCATACAGTACATCTGAAGAAAGAAGGCAGTATAATACAGTGTAAAATTCAAGGAGTTGGAAAAAAACGGAAGAGTGGATAAGAGACACACAAAAGAGCTAAGAATAAATTTAATCAGAATCCTTGTCAGAAAGAACGGAAGAGCTGAAGAAAACATGACATTGGCAGAGATACTAAGAATTTCCCAAACTGATGAAATTTATAAATGCATAGATAACATACAAAATGCTCTTGAATATGAAATAAAATAAGACAAAAGAAATCTAGACAAAATAGCAAACTGTATTACAGCAGAGACAAACAGAAGATCTTAAAAAGAATTCATAGAGGAAAGACAAATTATCCACAGAGAAATGACATCAAGAATAAAACTGGAAGACAGGGGAATCTTCTCCAGAATATGGAAAGAAAATACACTGTCAACCTAGAAGTGTGTACCTGGAAAAACATCTTTATGTGTGAAGATAAAAGAGTCCTTGTAATACTTTGAAAAAATGAGAAAGTTTACTATCAGTACAATGTTGCCAAAAGAGTTTTTAAGGATATATTTCAAGAAAATTATTTTCCAAGGAAAGTCTGAGATGCAAGAATGGATACTGAGTCAGTGAATTCACAAAAACTTTATATAAACCATTGCTTACATAAAAAGATTATTATACCCCAGGAAAATGTATGATTTTTTAAATTAATTAAAAATAAAAGAATTCAAGTAATAAAATATAATCTATAGAGCTCTGAAGGATATAATATAAAATCATGGACAGTAATAGCGTGTTAGGTTGGCAGTGCTGGGGATTTAAAACTCCAGGCTAAAGTGTTCAAATTGTTTCGAATGTTTACTTTATTGGTCAGTGAGATCATGGATACTTAATAAGGCTGTATTGAGTATTCACTGATAAAACTTCAAAAATAATTATTAAACTGGTAAAAGTGGAGTTATATAATTGCCAAACCAGTTGAGAGGCTGTGGAATTAAAATATTGCTGCTGTACTCCCCCCAAAATAATAAAGTCCATTTTTTAAAGTAGACTTCTTAAAAGAAGAAGCATTGAGAAAATGGGGCACAGAAAACATAAAAATTAGACAAGCAGATCATATCCATCTATCAGTGGTCACAAGAAGTGTCGATGGATCAAGCTCCTCAGTTAGAAACAGAGCTAGCCAGATTAGATTTTTTAATTTATTTTATTTTTGGTACCAGGGATCAAACTTGGGACCTTGCACTTTCGAGGAAGGCGCTGGAACCACTGAGCTAAATCCCCGGCCCCAGGTTAGATTTTTTTAAAAACTCCAGCTCTGTGTTTTTTTTAATAGGCAACACACCTGAAATATCATGACAAGGAAAGCTAGAAACCCAAAGGGTAGAACAGGGTATGCCAGATACACTATAAAAAGAAGCCTTCACAACTGTCATTATTCATCGATAGAAGATTCAGTTCACCTGAAGATTAAGTAATCTTATTAGTAGTAGTAATAAAATTACCCTCAAAATGTATAAAGCAAGCATCAATAGCAATACATCCAGAAACCTCACTGGCCCAGGGTCATGGTGGTCCCAATAAATCTCAAATTATTGATAATCTAAGTCAGCAGAAAATTTATAAACTGAAAGTTTACATAACACAAAAGTAGGAAGCTTAAGTTAATGAAATTATATTTAATACCACATCTAAACTATTAGAAAAAGTACCTTTTTCTCAAACATATGTGGAATAATTACGAGATTATCAATGTGCCTGGTCATATTACTAGTAGTACCAAGAAACTGTAGTGCCTCATAAAGAGCATATTACTTGACTTAAACATGATGGTTAGCAATCAGTAATAAGAATATATGTTTCACAAAGTTTAGAGTTAAAAAATATATTCCTAAGAAATTCATATATCAAAAGAAACAAATCATGGTATCGAAATGCGTGTGCTGCAGTAAGATGGCAATTGGAAGAAATTTTACTGCCTTCAGTATTCATGGTCCATGTGTCTTCAAGGATGAGCACAGGGTGGCCACAGAGTTATGTTTGTGAGGAGCTTAGAAAGCTTGTGAATTATAATGCCTTCAGTCCAGCTGGAGACTTGCAACACACATCTTTGTGGGACCTCCAACTATCGCTTAGGCTGAGGTGTGATTCTGTCTGCGGCCAGACTTCCCCCTCTAGGGCTCACAGACCAACACTGAACTGCTCGGGGCTGAAACAGACAAGACAGCGGGTCTTCCCACTCTCCTATTACCCGAGAGAGTAGCCTGTGTTCCCAGAGGGAAATGAACTCACTCGCCAAGATCATAAGACATTCTAGGAGAAGAGCCTTTGCAAATATATTAGATTACAATTCGAACAGAGGCAGAAATATTAGCACAAGTGAGTCAACAGCATTAAAATTAGCTTGATAAATACTAACTAAAAGATTTACAAGAAGTTACTAACAATATAAAGCAAGAAAAATAGCACATAAATAAAAACCAGATAAACAAGTCTTTAAGACCTGTATAACTGGAGAGGTATGCCTTGTTTATGAGTCAAAAGACAAGATATTCTTTTAAGTTTAGTTCCCTTAAATTGTCTATATGTTCAATATGGTCTAAATCAAAATCCTAACAGGCTATTTTGTAGAAATGGACACGCTTATTCTAAGTTTCATATGGACATGGAAATGGTTTAAAATAATCAAAAGAACATTGAAAAAGAAAGTTGGAAGGCTAACATTACCTGATTTAAAGACTTATTACAGAGGGATAGTAATGTAGACAGTTTGATATTTGTGTCAAGATTAAAAAAATAGATTATTAGAACAGAATAGAGGTCAAGAAATATGCCTCCGAACACACACACACACACACACACACACACACAACTGGTTTTTGCTAAGGTACAAAGACAATTCAGGGAAAGAAGTTTGTGGTGGTGGAACAATTTGATAGTCATTTGCAGTAGAACAAAAAAGATTTTCAATCCGTAACCTCCTGATGTGTGTGTGCCAGCTTGCCTGGGCAGGAATACCTGGAGAGCTGGTGAAGTGTTACCTCTCAAAGTGTGTGTAAGAGATCAGCGTTTGAATCAGTAGACTACAGATGGCCTTCCCCAGTGCACGTAGAGATCATCCAGTCCAGTGAGGCCCAAATAAAACAGCATGGGAGAGCAAAGGGAAATTCTTTCTGTCTTCTTGAGCTGGGATATCCATTTCTTATGCCCTCAGACACTTGTG